TTGAAAGATGTTTAAAACATAGAGCATAGGGGGTGTCGCCGCGTCACAAATGAACGTCACATTTTAAAGTGTATTTTTTCTTAGAATGAAAAAGACAAACACATTAAAAAGATTCTAAAAAAGCACCTAATCTTCCAATTTTTTAAAAGACGCAATTCACGTCATTTTCTATTCTTTAATTGAAAATGAAAAGAACAGCATTGGCATTTGTGATCATAAACATTGTTGTTTTACTCTATTGAACTGGACAAAGGGATTGTCGAAATGAGAAAAAAAGCTCAACGAGTTGTAAGTGTAATTGCTTCAAAATATGGGAATCATCACTAGCGACAGTTACGTTAATTAATCAGACTCACAGAATAAAAATTGTAAATAAGAGACTTCTTAATAGATAGTTTCAGCAATTTTGGGTGATGGGTCATTGAATGATCAGCAGAGGACAAGAAGACCAAAAGATGGGAAATCGGACAGAAACGTTCAGTGCTGTCTGACGTTGTCAAAAAAGACAGACGGATAGAGTGACATGTGAATTTTCAAGTTTGTTTTATGCTACTGTTCAAAAAATTTTGACAGAGGGCTAAATTATGAAAAGAGTGAGTGTATAATGGTACTAAGAATTCTTAAAGAAAGTGAAATTGGTGAAAGTGTTTGCAAATCACAAATATTTTCTAATGAAATGAAGAGGAAACGGTTAAAATCATGACGGCACGTACCCGTCATATGACGTTATATTTAGGTGCGGCAACTACCATAAGCACACATTGTTTGAAATCCGATATTTTGGAAAGTATATATCATATTCCTTTGAATTTTTCAGGTCTGGTTTGAAATAAATAAAGCTTTCATCATGTATAATTTTGTTGCTTTACGTCGATTTATACCAATTTTATCAAAGTTGTGACATTACTTTTGGATCAACCCTCGTATATATGGAAAAAACTTTTAAAATCTTCTTCTCAAGAACCACTGGGCCAGAAAAGCTGAAACTTATGCGAAAGGATCCTGGTATAATGTAGATTCTAAATTGTCCAAATTATGACCCCTTTGGGTAGAGCTGCCATAATCGGAAATCCAAGTTTTAAAATACATTGAAATATATATGGAAAAATCTTTGAAAATCTTCTTCTCAAGAACCATTGGGCAAGAAAAGCTGAAACTTTTGTGAAAGCATCCTGGGGTAGTGTAGATTCTAAATTGCCCAAATCATGACCCTGGGGGTAGGGCGTGGTCATGATTGATATTACAAAGGGGGGTAATCTGTTTAAGAACAGCATGACTAAAGTTTCTTAGGTGAGCGATGTGGCCTATGGGCCTCTTGTTTGACTTGACCTCATTTTTATCAAATTGTGTTTAAGTCAGTTTTAATTAAAGAAATCATTCTAGATATTTTATCAAACTTCATATTTTGATACATATTGATGAGAGATATGCAACTGCATCAACATTTTTGACCTTGATCTTTCCCTTGACCTTGACTCCACTTTTCTTAAATTGCAAAGAAGGGTAGGCAGTGAGAAAAAAATGGTACTGAAAGAAGTTTGACAATTTTCCCTTTTTTCCATGTCAGCCTTTTTAAAAATAGTCAAACTTAATATGCTGATACATACTGATTGAAGCAATTCAACTGAATTAACATTTTGACCTTGACCTTTCATTTGAACTTGACCTCACTTTTATCATATTGTATTTAAGTCAGCTTTAATAAAAGAAATCATTCTAGATATTTTTATCAAACTTCATATGTTGATATATATTGATTAGAGATATGCAACTGCATCAACATTTTTTACCTTGACTTTTTTTTTTACCTTGACCTCTTTTTTCTTAAGTCAGTGTTAAACTTCATATGCTGAGACATACTGATTGAAGCAATTCAACTGTATTAACATTTTTGACATTGACCTTTTTATTTGACCTTGACCTCACTTTTATCTAATTGTATTTAAGTCAGTTTTAATTAAAGAAATCATTCTAGATATTTTTATCAAACTTCATAATATGCTGTTACATACTGATGAGAGCTTTTCAACTGCATCAACAGTTTTTGACCTTGGCATTTCCTTTGACCTTGACCTCATTTTAATTAGATTAGTGTCAAACTTCATATGCTGATACATACTGATGTAAGCAATTCAACCAGTGTTTTCCCTTTATTTCAAAGTAAAGGGTTAGAGATCAATTGTAACGGGCTAGGGGCTGAGATTTATGAACAGAATCTTTGTGGAACTTTTAATAAATTTTTATTTCAAAGCGGCATTTTTGTTAATTGAAGCAGTCAATTTGGCCAGTAGCCAGTTCTTAGGGAAAACACTGTCAACTACATCACAATTCAACATATTTTGGACAAATTTCATACACTAATACAATTTTCATGTTGCATTACTAATATACCCTTGGCAAGGCATTCATGTCCTATGGAAATATTTCTAGTTTCTGCAAACATTAACCTTTGCCATAACTTTTGAATCATAAAAGATAGAGACTTCTTATTTGGTATGCATACACCACTGATAAAGTTCTTTAAAATGACACCATGGTCAATGACCTTGTGACCTTGACTGTGATCTATGTAGCTTTTTTGTCTGCAAACATTTGAATATAAAACGGGGGGTTTTTTTGCACGGTTTTAAATTGAATTTTCATACGTTAATACAATTTTTTCTAAATCAACTTGGATTATAGCTATCGATATTGGGAAATAAACCCCTATCCAAAGTTGTGACTGTGCCAAAAGAGTACAATTTTGTGTAAGACAAATTAATAGTGTCCCAGTAAATGGAGGTGTTGGCTGTAAAGATGATTGTTATATCGAAATTAACTTTTTAAATGCAAGTCATCTGCATTTCATAAATTTGAATAATTAATTACAAATATGTTTAAAATTATTTTATCTTCTACCGATTGGTAGACTGTCAAATTACACACACACTATTCCATTCCTACTGATTTCAAGAAATCGCCCGGAATACAGTTAGATAGGAATGACGTTCTCGAAGAATGATGATGACATAAAAAAATCTTTTGCTTATTTTAATCTTATATTGGAAGATTAATAATTGTAAAAAAAACTTCATTTACAGCTCTGTGGCAATGCATTTTGAAAAATTTATGCACTTTGAAAAAAAAATTTCAAAGTGCGTTAAAATTGTTACAAATCATAGCACTTTGAAACATTATTTCAAAGTGTGTTAAATTTTGGGCTAACTCAATGCACTTTGAAATTTTTTTCAAAGTGCATTAAGAGTTTACATCAATTTTACCATGGAAACACTTAACGCACTTTGAAAAAAATGTGTATAAAACAAAAATTCTGGATTACATTCTAGTAATGGAAAGCATTGATTTGTTATTTATCTTTCGGAAAACTTATGAATTCATTTACTCCCTCTGAGAAGAGGAGAAGAGGGATAGAGGGTCTCTCCGCCAACTTTTTATCCTTCCAATTATTGCTATCTGTTTTCGTCCATAGTCGTCCTTCTTCCTTCGTGTGTTACTATTTGAACATTTTCAGTTTCTTCTATGCAACCGCTCAACCAATTTCAACGAATTATGGCACAAAGCATCCATGGGTGAAGGTCCCTGCCCCCCTAGGGCCTCAGGGACCAAAACCACTAAAATAAGTGCAATCTTAAAAAATCTTCTTTACTCTTGGACATCAAACAGTAAATGTTGGTATGATTGTAATTGGCATTGAGTCCTCTACCAAAATTGTGAAATTCATGCCCTCAGGGTCAGGGGTTCTAGTGCTAGGGTGGGGCAAAATAGATTATTTAGCAAAAATGCATTTTTTCTTTGAAATTCTTATTTTCTGCTCCTGGGCATTAAATAACGTAACCAAGTGCATAGTTATGTTGAATAAGGCTGCCTCGTCCAAAATTGTGAATTTCATGGCCCCAGGGTCGGGTTCTAGTGCTAGGACGGGGCTCTATAGATTATTTAATGTGGGTATTAAACAAACAAACAAACCAAGTATATATAGTTATGATGACCAAGAGTGTCTCTTCCAAAATTGTGAATTTCATGGCCCTGGGGTCAGGGCTTCTGGCGTTAGGATGGAGCTCTATTGATGATATAGATGAAATGCATAAATTCTTTTAAAATCTTCTTTTCTGCACCTGGGTATTTAACCAATGAACTATTTACATAGTTATGATGAGGAAGGATGCCTCTTTGATATTTGTTAATTTCAGTTATGTAGTGAAACTGCATGAATTCTTTGAAAATCTTTTCATTTGCTCCTGGTTATTATGCCAATGATCTAAGTATATATTTATGACGAAGAAAGGTGCTTCTTCCAAAATGGTTATTTTCTGGGTGCCTGGGTCAGGGGTACTTAGAGGGGGGGGGGGGTTGTTACATAGTCTGAAAATAAATTAATGCTTTGAAATCTGCACTTTGGTATTAATCAACAATTTATGGTTAGATAAAATTTATGATCACAGTTAATTTATGATGAAATAAGATTTATGATAACAATTTTTGATGAAATAGATTTTAATGATAAAATTTCCAAAATTTTGAAATATGTGTACCAGGGTCAGTGGTTCTTGTGGGATTGGGTGCACAAATGGTTATAAAGTGGAAATGCATTTTCACTTTGTTACTCTGATCTACCTCTGGGTATTAAGTAACCAAAGTAAGCATGCTATGTGTATAGTTATGATAATTAAGCAATGATGCCTCTTTCAAAATTGTAAATTTCATGGCCTCTGGTTAAAAACACAAATAAAATTCAATTGTTGGAAAGTTGTTACATGATACTTATGTGACCTATAAGGCCCATGGGCCTCTTGTTATTCTTATGACACAACTATTCCATACTTGAATTTAGGGAATTTGATAATACATACTTAAAATACAACATGTAATTTTTTTAAGATTTCATCCTTAACAAGAGAATGTACAAGATAAAGTTTCTATCTGTTTGATACATTTGCTTTTGTGCCACACTCTAATTGCAAAGTAAAGAAATTTTAAACTAAGTTAATCTTATTCTATAGATCTCCTGCTTCAAAACAGAGAAGTGACCTACCTGTTAGTATTGACCTGACAGTGGATGATAGTCCAGAACCCCCAACCCCTAGTGTGTCAAATGGAGATTCTTCATACAGTGTATCACAGTTTAACATGGACAGTAATCAAAGGTAGGCATGGCCAAATAGCTATCAGTGTTCATCCAAAAAGATTGTTAATCTTATTAATAAGATTGACACAAATAGTCTGGATAGGAAGGAAAAAATATTCAAATGAAAAACTACTTAATGAAATGAATTTTCAATGGACAACACAATTTAAAGTATTAGGTATTTATTTTGATGTTGACTTAACTAGAGTTCCAAAACTCAACTAAATCAAAAGATTGGTCAAAATTAAGAATATAATACTACCCCCTTGGGTAGGATTTCACTTATAAACTCAATATTTATCACTATTGATAGCACAGTTAAACCATCTTTTTATTTCTTTACCTTCACCTTCTGAAAATTTTGTTAAAAATCTAAATAGTGTTCTATTTAATTTTCTTTGGAGATCAAAGGTGGACAAGATAAAAAGAAAACAAATTACTCAAGATTACAAGAGTGGAGGATTGAATATGATTGACTTAAATATCTACATTAAGAGCTTAAAATCATGTTGGATTAAAAAACTACTCAATGGCCAGGGTTCTAAAGGGAGATCACTTGTTCAAAAAAGTTTTAGTATTAAAAAACTATTTAATACTGGTTCAAATTATATTGAAATAATATTACAAAGTATAACTAATGATTTTTGGAAAAAGACTTCTCAGACTTGTTAGATGAAGAGGGAACTTTTCTAGAATTAGAGGATCTAGAAGCAAAGTTTAATATAGAAACCAACTTTTTAACATATGCAAGTTTACAGAAAGCAGTAAAAGAAGTGATGGCTGTAGAAAAAGTAAACAAAGAAAGATTAAACCCAAGCCCCATTCTATCTTTTTATTTAAAATTATTTTGTCTAAGTAAAAAAGGAACAAAAGCTATGTATAATATTTTGAATACAGATCACATAGTACCTTTTCCAAAGTAAAATGGAGTAAACATTTCGAAATTGAAGATCCCCTATGGGAAATGATATACAAAATTCCTTTTCAATGTACAAAAAGTTCTAAATTATGATGGCTACAATTCAGAATAAATCAGCATATCTTAGTTACAAATAAAACATTAAATAAAATAGGTTTCAAGGATACTAAATTATGTAACTTCTGTCAGACATGGAGGAAACAATTGTGCATATTATGTGGGAATGCCAGAAGGTTCAGGAGCTTTTAAATAGTTTTACCATTCTTTGTGAAGCTCATAATATAGAGTTTCCAAAAGATAGTTGTAATTTTATATTTAGAAATCCAAAACCCAACAATAATGAATTAAATACAATATTTTTATGTATTAAATCATTTATATATAGAACTAAATTTCGGAATGAGGTTTTGAGATTACAAGGATTATGTGAAGATATTAAAACATAGCTATCTACGATGAAATATAGTGCAACAAAAAGTAATCAAATTAATGAATTTAATAATAAATGGAAAGACTGGCTTTCACTCATGTAAGACCCTGAAACCAGACAACTAAAGACCTTTTGCAATGCTTAGACATACATATAACACTACTTTATTCCTATGAACATGCTCTTCTGCTCTTCTTTCACCATTTCTCACCCTCTCTCTCTCTCTCTCTGTCTTTTTCTATCCCCCTCTCAATTGTCACTATTATATTTTTTGTATTTGAATATTATATGTATTAATGATGTATTGATGTTAATAAGATATTGTATACATGTATAATGTGACAATTGATATAAATAAAGAAAAAAAAGATAGTTAATCTGTTACACTAAATTTGCTATAGCTGAATTAATCAATGCATAAAGCCCACTAAAACAAGACACTTCTCATTTATTAGCAGGTTGTTTGAAGAACAAGAAGTCTCCTCAGATAGATTAACATTGAGCATGGAGGGAGAAGACAGTAACAGTAATGCCAGTGATTCCAAATCTATATCAGGGGTAGCTATCTTCTCTACATATTCTCACTTCTTATATTATCAAGGGTAGCTATCTTCTGTACATATTCTCCACTTATATTATCAGGGGTAGCTATCTTCTCTACATATTCTACACTCATATTATCAAGGGTAGCTATCTTTAATCTCACTTCTTATATTCTCAGGAGTAGCTATATCTTCTGTACATATTCTCCACTCATATTATCAGGGGTACTTTTTTCGCTACATATTCTAACTTATTACATTACCAGGAGTAGCTATATCTTCTCTACATATTCTCCACTCATATTATCAGGGGTAGATTTCTTTACATATTCCCCACCCTTTTATTATTGGGGTAACCATTGTTCCTACAAATTCTCCACCTTATCTTTTCAGGGGTAGCTATCTTCTCAACATATTCTCCACTCATATTATCAGGGGTAGCCATCTTCTCTACATATTCTCACTTCTTATATCATCAGGAGTAGCTGTATCTTCTGTATATATTCTCCACTCATATTATCAGGGGTAGCTATCTTTTCTACATATTCTCACTTCTTATATTATCAGGAGTAGCTATATCTTCTCTACATATTCTCCACTCATATTATCAGGGGTAGATTTCTCCTCTACATATTCTCCACTCTTATTAGCTCTTCTGAGCCGATGGTGCAAAGAGCTAATGCTATGGCCATTTGTGTGGTGGGAGATGTGTGTAAACTTTTAGGAAAAGGGCTTTAACTCAAGAACCCCTTGGTCAATCATGTGGCAGGGTTATCTCCTCAAAATTCTGCATAAACAGTCCGAACAAATATGATTATTTTCGTCAACATTGATTATAGTGATACCTTGCTGCTTCTTTTTTTCCCTTCAGTCACCTTTCTTAAATGCTTACATTGACTTGCTAGTAAATCTTCCAGACGTCATTCTGTATATGTTTGCATTAACTACAATATCCGGATTAATAAAATTAGAATGAAACACTGCAAACTTCAGAAAAAAATTAGTGTAACACTTTTATGCAGAAGATCTGAAAATTTGTTGTAAAAAAGTTACGCTTCATGAAATTGAAAGGGTTAGCTAGGGCACTCAATATTTTATGGCCATAATACTTTGGACCCCCCCCCCCCTTCTCCTTAATTAAAAGGTTAGAGGGACTCAATATTTTATGGTCATAATATTTTAAACCCTTGGTTCAATATTTTATAGGGTGGTTCAATATTTTGCAGCGATATTTAGAACCTGGGTTCAAAATATCAGGGGATTCAATATACATGTATTATATGACACATGTAATAAATATTGCATCTTTGGATGCACAATACTAGAACATTTGTGAATTTGTTTGGTGCCTTACTTAGATAATATTTTTTTGTTTTGTTTGTTTCAGTATATGAGGGAAAGAGTAAGAGCTATCATCAAAGCCAGCAGAAAAGCTATCATGGAAGAAGAAGGATCCCTGTATGATGATACATGAAGTTGGATATCAGAGACTTATAAAATGGAGAACAAAATCTCATTTCATAAATGAACCTCTTCAAGTCCAAGGAACTGTTTCCTTTTATTAAGAGGGACATGGGGATGTGATCAAAGTGTTTTTTAGGTTTACTAGTTGTAGACCAGAAGAGCGTATGTAATGGTTTTGTGTTTGCTGTCTGACAGTTTTTGTCTGATTTCATTAAAACTTAGTGGAAAAATAGACCACAGTACCTGGCCTTAAGTGAGTCATATTTTTATTTTTCCACTATATATTTCATTGAAAATGCATTTACTAAAATACTATTGCAGTGTTATTTCTTGCTCATTTTTTATAACTAAAACACCCAAAAAAATGCAGATTTCTTAGCAGTTTCTTCACATTGACTCAAAATAATTTTATCTGTAGGTATTATAGTGATATCACAGTTCAAATGCAAAATAAAAATTTTAAGACTTCAATTTGTTAAGAAATCGTAGTAATTTGAGGTTAGAAATTTTTGTCTTGTCAATTTTATAATTCATTTTCAATGAATTTGTTTATCTTTTTATTTTGGTTTAGAAATTCGAACAATTCTGCATGATTCAGTGAAAAGATCACGGAAATTGAGCTAAAATTGACTTCACAAGTGTTTTTTATAACTAGAGCAAAGCTCGTTGCAAAGCAACGAGTAGGTCTTCCATCCTGTTTGACCGGAAGTAACTTTCATTTTTAAAAAAAAAAGAGAAATGACGTCTCTAATGATTTAAATGTTTCAAATCTATGTTGAAAATTGCAAAAGTAAGCCATTTTTTGCTACTTCCTGTTTTACCGGAAGTGACGTCGACGGACGGAAAATTAAGTTTTATGCTTCCAGTGACAAATATTTCCCCAAAACATGTCAAAAACGGAAAAAATATGCAGTTTTGTACTACTTCCGGTTTGGCCGGAAGTGACGTCACAGGACATATTTTGATGACATCAGTAGATTTTACCAGAGATTTTCAACAACTTTGCTTCTTTGATGTATAACAAATTCTCAATATTTTTTGAGATATCTGGAAAAAACTTTTGGCCCCTCTAGATCCCTTAATTTAGGGGTCAGCCCTTTTTCCGAGATATCATTTGAAAGATCTTGTAATTCTGCACAAATTATGTTTTATATATTTTAACAAAATAAAAAGCAAAATATGAGTAATTTTTGGCTCTTTTAAGCGTTCTAATTTTTGACCCCTATATAGCTCCATTTTGAATAGAGAAATCCGAAAACAAAATTCGATGTGCACAACTTCAATCCTTCTACGAGGGGCATTTCAAAAGTTCTGGCAACTGTTTAATAAAAGATTAACCGTTTTACGTAAATTATTGAGTTTGACATCATTGAAAAGAGCAGAAAAATCTACACATATTGTGACGTTACTTTATAATTTTTATGACGTAATAACTCCGAAAATGACGTCAGAATATAGAAAGTTAAGCATACTGAAATGTCGCGTTTTTATCGACATGAGACGATCGTAAAAGTTCTGTCAAAGGCTTATTTGAAAAAATATTTCGAAGAAAATTTTAATTTGCTAAGAGGTAGAGTAGGACTATGATACTGTTTATCAGCAATTCCATTATTCATTGTATGGTTTGTTTACGAGCACGGTTTATGTCCGTTATGCTATCATAGACATTCATTTAAGATTTTTATTTACATGATACGGCTGGATTTTCGGTCTTTTATTTAGCTCTCCATTGTTTGAAATAAAACATGTTCTGTATTAAATTGAAGTATATTAATGCAGTTTTCATCATGTATATTTTGAGTAACAGGACTCTTACCGTTTAAGAATAAAATGTACTAAATCTTGTCCCCGACCTAATTCTATGCGTATTTTTTCATATAAATTCAACTTCGGCGCCCCAAAACTCGCTACTGCTTTTGACTTTTGAATCCAAAAAATGAATATAAGTTACTCAGACATGTAAAGTCTTATTTATTTTCCATGCATTAAAATTTGTGAATATGTGGAGGTACGGTGGGGTTTCAACTGCGCTGCCGCCATTTTGGATTTTACGAGAAAATATGGGGCACACTAAACTTAACTTCTCTTGAGCCTTCATCGATCCCACCAATCTGGTAAAAACACCTGACGAATTTATGCCATTGAATTTTGTAACATGATCGCCTATTTTTCTTTGATTGTCAACTTTGTCTTTTTCTCACATTTAGGTCTCTTTTACACAAAAGTTTGAGCGAGATTCGATAAAACCATGCTAAGTTTGACACTCGCTAAAACCATTTCAGAACAAGAAGATCTCCAAAATAAAATACCATATGATAGATTGTGGTCTATATAAACATTCCACCAACTGGTATTTGCCTCCGTTAACTTGCGACCGAGTAATGAGCAAAAGTTGTCTTGAAAATTTTTATTTGATCAAATTGTGTCTTTTGTTACGTCATTTTTATGGTCAGTATATTAAAAATATTCTATATTCTGACGTCATTTTTGGAGTTATTACGTCATAAAAATTATAAAGTGACGTCACAATATGTTTATATTTTTCTGATCTTTCAAATGATATTAAACTCAATAATTTCCGTAAAACGGTTAACCTTTTATTAAACAGTTGCCAGAACTTTTGAAATGCCCCTCGTATTATCTAAATTCAGTGGAATTTCTGCTCCAGCTTTAGCTGTCTCTGAGCCTTTGTCTGGAAACAAAAGCCTATAAAGAACACAGACCATGTTTCGTCATATTGGCCCTGTGATTTCTCAATTTTCAAAGTAGAATGAATAGAAATAAAATTATTATCAAGGGTTAATCCACTGTTGATACTATCCCAACACACCAAAATTTTTCCGCCAAAACGTCAGCTCGTTGATTTGAATAAGAGACAAAACCGATAATGGACGGGTTTTTTGCAGAAATTCTCTACTTTTTCTATTTTAGTCATGTTTTTCACATACAGCGCAACCTCTGATCTAAAATGTAACGACATTCCATTAAATCACTTTAATAAAGAAACAAAACTGTAGATAGATTTTTTAGATCAGAGGGTGCGCTGTTGATGAAAATCAACTCTAAACAAAAGCAAGGAGCAATCCGGAATTATTTATTTTCGTGAAGATTTCATTTATTTCAAGAGTTGTGCTGCTTTAAAAAATAAAAATAGAATAGCTAAGCGCAAACAAGATATTTTTTTTAAAAAATCAGCTGAAATTAAAACCACTTTGTGCTTTTATTAATTATTTCTTAATTAGATCGGGCGCGTTTGCTCACATCAATTAAGCTCATTTACATACGTAAACAAATAAACCAGAAGTTTTTCGGTAATTAATTATACACCAAGTCTTCAGAAAATTATGTCCTCCAGAAAGAAAGAAAAAAGAATTCTATTGGAGGTAAGTAATTTTATTTTTTTTTTTTTTAAATATCGAATTGAAAGATCAAAGACATTTTTTTCTTCACAGGTAGACTTTAGCTAAAAATGTATCGTCTGCAGACTGGCGATTCATTGTAAACACAGAAAAAAGTACACTTTCATATATTTTGCACGCTTTAATGCGCTTAAAATTATAACTTTATTTTCTTCTTATGGTTTACACTTTAGTTAAAAACAATGAACCGCAAATAAATCGGTCTTAACCCTAGCCTAGGTCGCATGCAGACGGCAGATCTATAAAACTACGAAACCCTATCAGATCCTTGTAAATATAACACATATACAATATTTCTAGGTATGTAATGTAAACAAAAAAAATATGAAAGGGAATAAATCAAATAAAATAACACACAATTAATATTCTAGGGTCATTTATTACCAAAAACCACAAACTTATCAGTTTGTTACATTCAAATTATTCTACTATAAAACATATAAACACCTTTTGACAGATGGCGTCTATAGCTACAGAGTAGCGCGTCCGCCTGAAAAGCGTGCGATCCGGGTTCGATTCCCCTGTGGGGGAATTAATTTTTTTTTTTAAATTAAAGTAAGAATTCCCCCCCCCCCCCCACCACAACTTATAATTTTTTTTCTAAATATAATATGTTGAATAAGTTTTAATGATATGCAGAAAATATATATGTTCTAATCATTTTTAAGTATATATTTCTCCTAATCAAAATCCTATTTATATATGAATATTATGAAATTCTTTATCAAACAAAATCCATGAATCTTTGATATATTCAGTAACAAACAGTCACATGCTATTCTACTTTCACTACATTTCTCTGACCTAATTGCTAAAATATAATTATATTTTTTCAGTGTCAAAATTAAAAAAAAAAACATGTAGTTTTTTTAGTTAATAGAATTAATGTTTTCTTTTTTAGAAATGAATCAAGAAAAGAAAAAAACAGAAATTGGAAAGTCTTTCCCATGCATTCTATGTAAGAAGCGAACAAAACCAAAGGACAGAAAAAAATGTGAATCTTCAGCTATTCGTCGTTTTCTCCGCAAGAACTTTCTTGTTGAAGCGAACAGTAATGACATTCTGTGTACGAAGTGCAGACATCTATACCATGGTAACCAACAAAAATGTCAAAAGAAATCTGGGCCACTTCCTGTGTCACAGCCTCCACAAACACTTGCAAATCCATCATCATCAGGAATATCCAGTCCACCTTCCATATCATTACCAATCCATAGAACGCCTTCATCTCATGCTTACTGTTTCATTTGCAAGCGCCCTGGACCCAAGCTTGTTGTTGTTACCTCTTCTGCTAGATTTACAGCTTTCCTGCAGAAAGAAGTCATTATTCCATCTGGAAGCAGATGCTGTCCATCTCATGTTGAAGATGGGGAATTCAGGCCTGGTGCTCTTGACAATTTGCACACTTTGGAATCAACACTTGTCAACAGAACAACAATTCTTGAACTCATCCAGAAAATTAGAAATTATGCCATTCAAAATTCAACGAGCAGATTTTCTTTTGAACCATCAAGCATGAACACTGCAGATTACACAACATTGACCGGCATATCCAAAGAAAATTTTGAAGACCTCCATTCTTTTATTTCAAATGACATTCGAAATACACAGAACCGTGGCACCAGGATGTCTCTAGGCATATTTCTCCTGAAACTGAGGTCAGGCATGTCAAACCAACTTCTTGCCACCATCTTTGGAATTTCCAAGTCCTCCCTTTGCAGAGCAATACGATCAGTTCGGGCAGCTCTAATGAAGTCATTTGTACCTCATTTCATTGGTCTTCATCATATTAGCAGAGAAGATTTTATCGAGAATCATACAAGACCGCTGGCACAGGAACTTTTTGGAGATTTTACAGAGAAGAAAGCTATTGCTGTTTTTGATGGAACTTATATTTACATCCAGAAAAGTAACAACTTCAACTTTCAGAGAAAATCTTACAGTTTACATAAAGGCAGGCCCCTTGTTAAATCCATGGTTGTCACATCTACAGATGGCTATTTCTTGACAGTTCTTGGACCATACCTCTCCAGAAATAATGATGCCACCATCCTCAATCATATGCTTCATACAAATGTGGAAGATCTGAAGGGCTGGTTTCAGGAAGATGACGTTTTCATAGTGGACAGAGGTTTTAGGGATTCATTGGACGTTCTGGATGAGATGGGAATTAGAGCCGAGATGACATGTGGAGTGTATCAACTCAAATTATCTCCAAGTTATATTCAAGAGTATCTGGAGGGGGATGTGGATATCCTGATTCATAGGGAATTCAATGGGCTTCTTAGGGTTAAGCTTCAAAGCCGTCACATTTCTTCCAGGCAGTATCTCCTTTGGATACAGTTTTCAGAGTCTGAGATCATTGCCTGGTACTGTAGATGTCGAGCGGGTGCCAGAGTGGTTGGGGTCTGTTCCCATGTGGCGGCTGTAGTTTGGTTCCTTGCGATAGGGCGGCATGACAAGGAAGCCATCTCTGGTGTCCAGGACTGGTCCGAGTTTGTCACGGATGCTACTATCATCGATGAATCAGATGACAGCGATGACAGTGTCATAGAGGAGTAAGCCATCTGTCTAACTGTGAAAGTCAATTGTCCTAAAAATATCAAAATACAATGTATACTCAAATTATATTTCAATTGATTTCAAAATCTTATATCTACATGTTATTCCAAACAATTACAAATGTCATTATTGTAATAAGGTATATGTTAAAATCAGAAATAAACAAAGATGATTTTTTTTTCAATAGACTATATACATTTAAAATA